AGGGCCCTCCCAGCACAATTATAGCCAACAGCTGTAGTTGTAAGCTTGAACCTATGGTCTGAACATGTGGCCCCACGTGCCTGAGTGATGTGGGCTTGATAGAGTTCAGGTGCATGTAGTTGAGTAGGATTGAAACCCAGAAGAATGTTGTAAACATCTTGGTCACGCCCTTACTTTGTCTTGTAGCTTCTATTATAAAATAAAGGCATGGCTGTGGACGTGGTCTCGCTGTCTCTCAGAGAAGCAGCATCCCACCGAGACCCGGCTTTCATTCTCTTGTCTGTCTTTTCTAAGCCTTTCAGCCGCCCCCACTCAGGTTCACCCTTGGCTGTGCTGGCGTGGCACACTTTATATAAAGATATGCCTCCATGCTCCCAGGGCAGGTTCCTGCCTCAAACCCCACCCTTACAGGAAATAGCTCCGGGAAACAGCTTGGGGGAGGGCGAAGCCATTGCCAAGACAACCCCTGCAGGACTGACTTCCTTCCGCTTGGTTGTGGTTCTGATGGTCGTGATGAACACCACCCAGGGTTTTTATATAAGTAGATTTAATTAGAAATGTTTAAACAGAAGGGATGTTCAGTTTTATCAAATGCCCTTTGGCACCTATGGGGTCATAAATGGCTCCAAGAAGGAAAATTAGTACAATGATTACATTAATAGATTTCCTGATATTAAATATTGAACCCTTAATAAACCATACTTCATTGAAGAATATGCTTTTATTTTTATTTTTAAATATGTATTTATTGATTTCAGAAAGGGAGAAAGAGAAAGAGAAACATCAATGATGAGAGAGAATCATTGATCGGCTGCCTCCTGCACACCTCCTACTGGGGATCGAATCCACAACCTGGGCATGTGCCCTGACCGGGAATCGAACCATGACCTCCTCGTTCATAGGTCAAAGCTCAACCACTGAGCCATGCCAGTCTGGCAAAGAATATGCTTTTAACATGATACTGGGTTCTGTTTGCTAATATTTCACTTAATACAGGCATTGATAATTGTGAGACTGTGTGTTGTTTTCATTTGGAGGGGCCTTGATATTATAGCTAATTTCATTTGAAGGCTATAAGCTTTCTTTTTCCATGCATATCTATCCATGATCACTGAGAGACACTACTGAGCTGCTTAACCAAAGTATCTATTCTTTAATTTTTTTGTTGCTCCCCATTGTGAATTGCTTTTTCTACCCTGAATTTTTCCTTCAAAGTTCAGATGAAAAATTAATGCCTAACCCTCTAATCCAGGAGTTGGTAAACTATGGCCTGTGAGTAGGCCTGTGAGTATTTTTATAAATAAAGTTTCCTGGTAACAGACACACCCATTAGTTAAAGCATTATTTGCAGCTGCTCTCAGGGTACACAAAACCTAAAACATTACTATCTAGTCTTTTGCAGAAAAAGCTTGCTGACCTGTGCTTTAATCCTTTATTTCTTTAAGCCATATCCCATCTTTATTATCTTTTCATGCCAGAGAAAGAATAGAAAAAGTCACCCTCACTATTGTTTTTCTAAAGTCCAGACCAACAGAAAGAATATCTTTAGATGAAAACCTAAACCCTGGACCAGGCCGGTGGCCTTGGTCTCACCTACGGTGAGGTTTCTTCAGTGTAAAAGGTAGTATCACTTTCCCAGGTACCCTTCTACTGTAGACTCAAGGAGTTAAAGACGCTGCTCAATCCTTTGACTAAACTAAACTAAACTAAATTAAAACTAAACTAAACTAAAATACATTCTGCATTTCTTCAAGTTAAATACAACTAGTAATTTTGTGAGTAAAATACAGTTTGGCTCCTTACTTCTGAAAGCAAACTCTCCAGAGACATAGGATCCATTTTGCTGTAGACATTCCATAGATTCAAACTCACATCCTGCAACTGCAACACAAGGGCAAAATTTAAAGTAATACAGAGTCAGTATCATTAGAGCAATCCAAATTATTTTCTGACATTCAGAAATGACTATCTTTGTGAAAATTCAAGTGATTAGAATAATAAATGTTATTTTGATCAGTCACATTAGAACCTATACATATTAATAAATGATGTCCCATTCAAGGAAACTATCTTTTCAGAAACTTTAGTACATTTATAAAAATACATATATTTTATTGCTTTCAGAGAGGAAGGGAGAGGAAGAGATAGAAGCATTGATTGGCTGCCTTCCGCACACCCTCTACTGGGGATTGAGCCCACAACCCGGGCATGTGCCCTTGATCGAATCAAACTGAGGATCCTTCAGTCTGTAGGCCGACGCTCTACCCACTGAGAGCCAAACTGGCTAGGGCCTTTAGTACATTTTTTGAATATCTTCAATGATGGGCATACATATATACATTTATATACATACAAATGCATATACATGTACTTTTTTGTCCTTGTTTAAAATAAAATTTTAATTAAAATAATACATGCCCATGGTTTTAAAAAATCAAATAGTACTAAAGGTTTGTAATTAAAAAAATTGTATTCCCATACTGCAACCTTTCACAAGGTTGCAGTATTTATTAATATGTATAGGTTCATCATTTATTAATATGTATAGGTTCTAATGTGACTGATCAAAACCTCACTCCTCAGAGGCAACCACTTAAAAGTCTTTCAACATTTCCTTCTGGTAGTTACCTCCATATTTTATTATGATATACCTATATCTCTATTTTTTCTTTCCTTATTTTTATTATTTATTTTTTAAATTTATCTTTATTGTTGAAAATATTACAGATGTCTCCCTTTTGCCTGCACCCACCGCCCCACCCCAGGACTTCACTACACCATTGTGTGTGTCCATGGGTTATGCATACATGCATATAAGTTTTTTGGTTCTCTTCCCACACACCCCTATATTTCTATTTTCTTTATTTACCAATTTAAAAAATACTGACTTATGGCAAAGATATAGCTTTTCTACAACTATCTTCATTCCCATACATTTTCTCTACACATACACAGACACTCACACAACATAACATCATCTAATACCATTATATGATTTTTGGTTATACCAGTAATTATTGTTTATAATATTAATACCATATGTATTTTACTTATTGCTGGCCAGGTACATACTATACTACCACATATTTTATATATATATATATATATATATATATATCCCGCAACCCGGGCCTGTGTCCTGACTGGGAATGGAACCGTGACCTCAACCAATGAGCCATGCCAGTGGGGCAATGTTTGTTGCTTTTTGAAAGAAAATTTCTTCTTTTCTGGTATCATTGCTCTATCTTTCTGGAACTTATACTTGTTCGCTATCAGACTTCGTGGATCAGTTCTCCATGTCTTAACTTTTTCCTCATATTTTCTATCTCCTTGATTGTATTAGTTTACATTTTGTAGA